ATCGTAAGTTGAAGAAAATAAATGTTGATTTCAAAGAAAATATAATTTCAGATGACCAAGAAATAGTTGAAGAAAATGAAGATATTCAAAATAATGTTCAATGTCTTAATAATACTTCAAATAATATGGATACATTTATTAAACGTATTAAAGAACGTGTAGCAGTTCTCTCCGATACACGTAGTGATCGTTTGAATGGGTACTTTTTACCTGGCTTATGTGCTTCTCTTCTTCGGATTACGAAAGATTTTCCTCTCTGGACAAACATAATGTCTAGATACTATAAATTAAAGTATGAAACGTCCACTTCAGCACCAGTCGAAGGATATTTTTCTCATTCCAAAAATTAATTGAGACAATCATTTAGCACCATAGATCGTTTTGTTGGTTCACATTTATTATCGATAGAAGGAGAATTGAAAATGGCCAGATCATTACAAGTTAACAAAAATCAAGATTATAAATCGAAAAATGATTTTAAATCAAACAACAGCAGTATTGATATGATATGTGGTAATGAAACAATTAAGGAAATTTATATAAATAGCGGTATAAGTAATGATGTTGAATCGGAATTTTATAGTGATGATGATATTTCTATCAATTCAGATAAATCTGATTTAAATATAATGATTACAGATGAACTGATGACACAAGAAAATTGGAGAAATAAAGCAGACCAACCAATCAAAATTAAAAAAAAAGTAATAAATTCCAAACGATTATTAAAATATACAAGTCCATGTTCAGATATTCGTCGTGTACTAAACACTTCGGGATTACGATCAACTTCATTATCAGTGATATTAAATGGAAATCTTTTACCCGCTGTTAAAGTAAATAAAGAAAAAATTCTGATATTTAACACGTGTGCTTTTGATTCGCTTTTAGTAGCAATAACAGTAAGTTACATCGATAGCAAAAGTTATAAGTTATATATTGATAGTAATAAAATGAATCCTTTTATAAGATTATGCAAAGATGTAGCTCTTCATGGATCAACAAGCATTACTTATCAACAACGAGGTAATTTGCTGCTAGATAGTGGATTTTTTAAAAAGTCACCAGTAGAATCCGAAACCTCAATGTTGGACGCAAATATCAATATTATTGCTTTAAGTAATAAGCTTCTTTCTGATATACCTAGCAGTATACAAACATTGGAATGCACCATTTGAATTACAAAAACCGAATTTCATGATGCAACAATAATACTCAACGAATTGTTAAATAGTAGTGGACACTTAGAAGATATAAATAAATATGTTACGGAAAAAAAAGAAAAATGGTGTCCAAACTGCAAAAAAATAAATAGAAATTCCAAAAGAGTATTGCAGGAACATATTTTATTGGAGACAGACGTATTTAAAGATAATACGATAAATGAAAATAAAATCTTGGTCAATGATATACCATCAAAGTTATTTATTGGAAAAGAAAGGTAAACATTTAAATGCTAACAATAACTATTCATATATAATTTAGGAGGTAATTTATTATACATATACTAATACTATAAATAATTTATTATTTAGGTTTTTACTACAGTCAATAATTTCATACATTGGAGATTCAGATGTAAAAAACATGGGCCACTACGTAACACACAGCAAACGTGTTAAAGGTTATTGGGAAATACATAATAACTTGGTAAAAAAAAGAACAATATATAAGTGTACAGAATCCAAATATGTAAAACCACATTTATTATTTTATATAAAAATATCAGATTAAGTATGTTAGATTTGTAAGCATTTTAAAATTTAATTATTTTTTTTTCCCGAAATTAATTTATTTATTAATTTTTGTAAGGCTCTAACAGGTGTATATTTATATTAAAAATAATTTTAATTAATAATTTTAATAATACAAAGAAATATTTACATTAATCTACTTAATAGTTTATTTTATACTATTGAATTTTAATGAATGTGAAGTGGCTTCTTATAATAAGTTACGAGTGGTAACAATTTATTACATATGTTCATAAATTGAGTATGTTATAAAACATATTTTATTTAAGAGTTTAGCCTAATCAAATAAAAATAAAAGTAAAATTCTAGTTAATTAAGACATATTTATTCAATCTAGATTTTGTTTTTATTAAATATAGATTTCTTTTCTTCAACTTACGATTTGTTCTAGGCGAATTAATTTAATTGGGTGATATTATAAATTACAATCTTAACTTTTTTATAAAGATATCTACTTAGAGAAATCCATCGGAATTCAAAATTGATGAGGTTACAAATTCTAAAAACTTGGTTACAAATAATTACAAATTAAGAAAATATTTTTATAGTGGGGGGGCTAACTTCACACACGTGTCCTCCAGATCCATTTTCTCTATTGTAAATGTAATACATTGACGCAACTAGGGGGGGTGCTTTGGATCCTTAGCACCCCCTAAGTCAAAATCAGCACCCCCTAAAAAATCGTTTAAAAATATAATAAAAAAGTTGAATATTTATCGAATTACAATTATAACATAATAGTAATTTTTGTAATATAACATTTTGTTATTTATAATGTTGAATTGGATGTGTTGATTTTAATTTAGTAAAGATAAGGATGCCGGAGCGGTCAAGTTATTTTAAATAGTCTGTGCTAAATATATCTATATTGTATATTAGTGCCTAACATACTAATATAATCTGGTATTCCCGAGGGACGGAAATAGTCTCATCATTATGACGTCTGGCATACGAGTGATACGCCGATATACCACAACAAATACAGCACAGTCTACTAGGATACTAAGATTTATAATAAATCGTCTTAGGTTACAGTGTTTGTAGGTAACTCGAAACACTATATTTACGTGTTACGTATGTTGTGTTAGAGACATTTCTAAGTTTCTTATATTATTAATTATGATTGCTAATAATATAATATCGATCGATATATTAAAAAATCTGGAGCTTAAGTACCCCCTAGTTCAAATGTCTAGTTGCGCCAATGATGTAATATGTAAAATATATTATATAAAATAATATTATATATATAAAATAATTTCACTTTGGTAGGGCCGGTAAAATTGTTTAGCCCGGGCTGGGTTTGAAGAGCCAGTCCAACCCTTATTATATCAGTGTATGTTGCACTTAGTACATAATCATAATGACGAATGAAAAAAATTAAATGGAATATGCGTGTATTTCTTCAATTGTAATCGCTGAACATATGCTAGTAAAATCTCGTGCAAGGGTACATTACGAATTTTAAATGTAATAAGGTAATAACATTGTACAGGTATATAAATAAAAGTTTTGTATCTTCAATCTTGAAATTATTCTTTTCTCGATATTTAATATTATGTTTACCATACATCATACATAGAGCATACTTTATATTTTGTAAACACATATAAATATCACAATGTAGAGAAAATAAATCTCATCACTACACTGCAGTAATATTAATTAATAACAAATCCAATGGAACTGGTAATGTTCAGTTGAAGTATTTACACATGTTGTAACATTAATGGTTATGAAATATTATCTATTTCACAGATACGACACATAAACTTACTTTGATAAAAATATATATTATAGTTTAAAATTTAAACGCGACCCATACAAAATACAGCCATGAAAAAATTGAAAACTCTGAAATTTCCCTCGAGGCGAGTCTGAGGTGACGGCGTTTTCGAACCTTACACAATCACTGCTAAAGAGTTATCGTACAAATTTATACAAATTACGTACTAAAATATGGCAAGAAAACAAATCGAAAACACTAATATTTCCCTTAAGATGGTGCTGGGGTGAAGTCACCCTAGCTCCACCTATGGTTTTTATTCGATAACGGAAAACGAATATCATACAAATTCCAAATATTGTCATACAAATACATACAAATTTCATACTAAATATTTGTGAAAACAATTTTCAATAGTGGAGCTAGGGTGGGGTACATACATTCACGTACATAATGGAATCATTTTAGTCAGTGACATGTTTACAAACATTTTTTTTTTGGGGGGGGGGAAAGGAGTCATTATAATTTTTTTTTTCTTAAATCAATATAAAATGATTAAAATTAAATTTTCATCAGTTTTATTATCTTCTTATTGAAAATATAAAATTATTTATTGATATAGTAATAATGATTAATCTTCATTGAACTATATCCACAATTCGTAGACAAAAATTTTCTGCGAATTACAGGCTACAGCCAGGGCTTAAAATAATATATATTGTTTACCATTATGGGACTTAAATATATAAGAAATTGAGCATTTAACATTATAAATAATTTAAACGTTATTCAATTTAAGCGTTTAAACATTATACAAATTTAAACGTTTAAAAAAATTTCCGTTTACCGTTATTGACAATTAAAACGTAATGAAAAATTTAGCGTTTTGCGTTATTCAAATTTAGTGTAAAATTTGAAACGTTGTCAAATGTAGTAATACTATAAAATAAATCATAATTTTTGTTTCTTAATAAAATACCCATTACTTATATAAAAACTGTCTTGTTCTAAAAATTCTCGGGGAGGGGGATTGCCCTCATCGCCCCCTTCCCCTCAAATACGCCACAGTTACTACCTACTAATGTTTCATCGGTGTTCACTGAAATTATTTTTGATGAGACAGGGTTCCGCGCCGACAATATGCGACGTATTTTCAGAAAGCATATTTATAAATTATAATTGGTAACGTTTAATTATATTTTATTAGTTGATAAATTTATTGTTTTTTTTTTTAAACATCTTTTTACATTTATTTTATTTAGATTACCTAGTAATTTAAGTCAATTTTACAAAAATAACCGTGTTCAAAATCTATTTTACTGATGGGTATAAATAATTTTCCATGGCAATTTCTTTTATGTTTCAATCGTTAATCGTTTCCCGTTATGTTATTCGATATTAATCTTGATCGTTTTTCGTTTCCGTTTCGTTATCCGGTTTCATCGCTTAACGTTTACCGAAATGTTATCTGTTATCGATTTCAATCGCTTTTTGAATAGTTACACTCACAACGTTATAAAAACGTTATGGCGCCCGGGCCACAGCAATAGGCATTAGCCCGTGAAGTGTACAATGCGTTTGGACCAGCACGGTTGAAAACACCGCACTCCATTATCGTACCCGGGATCTTATTAGTTTCTATGAAACACGGTTTTGATAAAATTTCTAAAATTTTAAAACGTTTCCCGCAATCGGATTTACAAAATTAACCGACTGCAAATCGATCGAAATTTGACGGGCGGATAAAGAAACCCCCTCCCCTCGCCAATAGATGCGCCACCGATTTCAGTAAACCACGTCATTGCCAAACGATCGTCATTCGCCGTAACATATCTAATATATATATATATAGAACGACGGCGGTGTCGACCGACTCGAGGTCGGACGCGCGTACGGACGTATAAAACGGTGAACGTCGACCGTGTGCCGCGCG